GTTTCCCGGTGCCATTCCCGGTTTCCCGGTGCCATTCCCGGTTTCCCGGTGCCATTCCCGGTTTCCCGGTGCCATTCCCGGTTTCCCGGTCCCTTTCCATTCCCTCACCCGCGGGCGGGAGCGGCCCGTGAGAATCACCGCCCCGCTGACGTCACACCTTTCCAGAACATTCCCCCAGAGACCCCGCCGCTCCTAACCGGAGCTCCTGGCCAATGAGAGAGCGCCAAAGGGGAGGTGCCGGCTTGAATGGACCAATAGAAGACGGCGTTAAGGCGGCGGGGTGAAAAGGGCGGGTAAAGGGGTAGGTCTTGCTTTCAACCTTCCCGCTTGGCCCCGCCCCCTCCCCTGGGACAGCCAATGAGAGGCGCGGTGACGGACACACCGCCGGCCCAACGGGGCGTGGCGAGCGTGGGCGGGACTCCCCTGACGTGACGGGCGGAGGCGGGAGAGGGGAGGGCGGGGAATGGCGGAGAGGGGGGAGCCAGATAGCGGGGGTTGGGATGGGGCGGGGGGGGGCGGCTCAGCGAGCGCACGGCGCCCCGGGACAGCGCGAGCGGTGAGTGCCGGGGGCGGCCCTGCCCCACACCGCCCCACAGCGCTGCCCCCCCTGCCCCACAGCGCTGCCCTCCGCCGCCCCATACGAGCCCCGCCCCACACCGTGGCGCGGGCCCTCAGCTCTCTGCGGTGACTCTGTGGGGCTGGGGGCGTGGGGGTCAGTGCCCCCGCCCCGGTGGGTGACAGGGAGTCGGTGTGGGCTTAAAGGGGGTCAGTGCTCCTACCCCATGTGGTGACAGGATGTCGCTATGGGGCTGGGGGTCAGTGTCTCTGCGCCGAGGGGTGATAGGGTGTTGCTGTGGGGGCACAGGGGGTGAGTCCTCCTGCCCTGTGGGGCTCAGTCCGTCTGCCCCATGGAGTGACAGGGTGTCTCTATGGGGATGGGGTCAGTCTTCCTGCGCCATGGGGTGACTGGATGTCACTGTGGTGTTAGGACCCCTGCCCTGTCGGGTGAGCAGGGTGCTGCCGTGGGGCTGGGGGTCAGCCTCACTGTGCCATGGGGTGATAGGTTGTTGCTGTGGGGCTGTGGGTCAGTCGCTCTGCCCCATGCAGTGACAGGATGTCACTAAGGGGGTCAGACCCCTTGCCCCATGGGGTGACAGAGTGTTTCTGTGGGTCTCACTCCATTTCTGCCCCACGGGGTGTCAGGGTGTTTCTGTAGGGGCTGGGGATCAACCTCTCTGCACCATAAGGTGACACTGTGTCCCTTTGGGGTCGGGGGGACAGTCCCTTTGCCCCACGGAGTAACTGGTGAGGCTGGGGTCAATCCTCCTACCCCATGGGGGTCAATCATCCTACCCCTTGGGGTGCCTGGGTTTTGCTGTGGGGCTGGGCAGGGGAGGTGAGCCGCTATATCCCTTCATGGGTGGGGAGCAGAGGCTAGCCATTAGGGCTAGTCCCCATAGGGTAGCAGGGTGTCCTTGTGGGGCTGAAGACAGGGTAGGAAGGTAGGAAACCCTGCCTTTGCCCCCATGGGGTGGCAGGGTTTCCTGGTGGGGCTGTGGGTCAGGGTTAACTGTGGAGCCCTACCTAAAGACAGCATGTCTCCATGGGTCTGAAGGGGGTGAGAACAAGGGGTTCCTCCCTTTGCCCCCTAACAGAGCATTCAAATTTGGCAGAAAGGGGTTAATCCGTCCCCTCCATGGGGCTACAGAACAGCCTTGTGGGGCTGGAGAGGACCCTGAGGTGAGGGCTGACCCCTCTATCCCATCCCGCTTTGGAGGGGATAATGTGTCCAGTTGGAGCTGTGTGGTGTGGCCAGGAAGGGGTTAACACCGCCACCACCCCTTCCGTTCACATCGGGGGTGCCAGTATGTCCCAGTGGGGCTGAGCTGGCAGGGGAAGTGGATAAAGACCCCCTGCACCCCCCAAGTGACAGTGACAGAGTCAGCAAGGAAGGGGTTAACCCCTGTCCCCAGTGGAGGTGACAGTGTCCCTCAAGAGAGCTGCAGGAAAGGGTTAACCAGTGGGGCTGGGGGCCATGGGGCTGGGGCACAGCAGAGGCGTGAACCCCTTCCCATATAGGTAACAACTCACCATGCTCCTATATGGGTCACCCCTAAATGGGGCACTGCCTGGGGGGTTGTAGTGAGACTTATCCCCATCCACACACAGGTCTTAGCCCCCCCCACTGGGGCTCGGCAGGGGGCTCAGAGTGAGCAATGAGGGGATTTAACCCCATCCCCACATACTGTGGTGGGGCTAGAAAGGGGCACCCCATGTTAGAAGGCAGCACGTGGGACTTGACCTTGTCCCCACACCACAGTGGGGCTGGGATCCTACACTGGGGGGGGGAACACACTGAGGGGCTGGAAATGTTTGACACTGATATGGAGAGACGTTGAGGGGGGCTTAACCCCATCCCCACACCAGTGCGAGCACCCCAGCGGGCTGGGATCCTACATGGGAGACAATGGGGAGGGGGCCTGACCCTGTCCCAACCCAGGACCCAGCACTATAGTGCTGGAAAGGGGGAATCCTGTATGGAGAGGTGTTGAAGGGTGCTTGACCCCGGTGGGGGCTGAAAAGGGGGAGCCCCACAAGGGGAAGCAGCAAAGGGGGGTTTGACCCCATCACCACCCAGCACCGTGTAGGACTGTGAATGGGAGACCATGCCTGGGGCGGGGGGAGTTCAGCACGTGTATCTTGTCCCCATCTCCACGCAGGAGTGGGCATGGGAATATGGGACCCTCTGTGGGGAGACGTCATGGGGGGGTCTTGCCCCGTTCTCCCCACGCCGGGGGCTGCCGGTGGGGGCTGTGAGGCAGAGCAGAGGCAGCGAGGGGAGGGTTAACCCCATCCCCACGCAGGTGCCCGCACCCCAGTGGGGCTGTGGTGGGGCGGGGGGGGGGGGCGGGCACTATGTGTGGGGGCCCGGGGAGGGGATGATTCATTGCGGGTAGTCATGACATTGCTGCCTGCGGCTGCCAGCCAGCACGGGCACGGGTGGCTCTGCCTGCCCCGAGACACTGCATCCCATCCCGCGTCCTGTCCCGCATCCCCTCCAGCATCCCATCCGGCATCCCTGACTGAACCCGGGATACGCTGCCATGCCGGCCATCCTGCTCTTCTGGAGCCGCGCCGAGAGGTATGCACTCATCCTGGCTTATCCATCCCAGCTCATCCATCCCGGCTCCCACCACCAGACCCCCCTAATCCCTCGGGATGTGGTGTTGCACTTGCCGAGGATAGGATGCAGGAGCTGCCCGGCACGGCTGCCTGATTCCATTGTGAGGCATCCAGAGGGGATGCTCTTAGTGGCTCGTGAGTGATCAGGGGGATGCGGTGCCTTTGGATTTCCTTGGCGCGCCTGAAGGTGACTTCTCAGAAGTAGGTTTTGTGCCGCTGTGCTCGGACCCGGCTCCATCCCGGTGCCATGCTGCACCGGGAGCTCCATTCTCCGGCTGGTGGGACCCCTTCTGTGGGGCACCGGTGTTGCGGGGACCCGCGGGGGGAAAGCTGGGGATGTGCAACCCGGTCAATGTGACTTTCTAACACATCGTATCGCCTTTCTGCCGCTGCCGTCCTACTTTTGGGTGCAGAGCAGAGTCCTTTCTGGGGACACCGAGGAGGGGGGAGCTCCTGGGTGCGCTCCCTCCCTGCTCCTTGGTGGGGGACGTGACGGTAACGGGGACGTGACAGTACCGGGGGACGTGTGTGACAGGAGCGGGGCGGCCGGGAGGCAGTGGGGAGGGAGGATGCTGGAGCTGAGGAAGCGTCAAGAAGCCAATTAAAAGGAAGATTACGGAGAGCGACTCCATTGAGGGGTGTCCCCGTGTGTGTGTGACAAAGGACGGCAGCTCCCAGCAGCATCCCCCTGGCACCCGCTCACCCATCACCACCTAAAGCCCTTTTGGAGCCATCCCGGGTGCCGACCGCTGCCTTTCTGCTGTGCCGGAGGGATCCGGCCACCGGAGCATCCTTCCGTGTGGCATTCCTGGCAACTCTCCATCGTCTCCCGGGGCACCTGTGGACAACGGCGATGTTTAAAATCAAACTAGAGCCTTTGAAAAGGTCGGCTTGGACTATGAATGTGTTCGTCAAGTTTCGGTAAGTGGGTTCCTGCCTCCGCACCGCGCGTCCTGCCGTGACCTTGCTCCCTGAGGTGGACAAACGGACACAAAGCACAGCTCCCCTTTCCGGTGCCGCTGCCCAGGGTGAGCCTCATCCCTCCAGTGGGGACTGCCGGGCACAGGGATTATGTCAAGGGATCGCTATTCAGCTGATGTCATGTGCAGGGATGGAACAAAGCCGCCGTTTCTGACTTAATTATTTCATTTCGGGTCCATGTGTGTGGTTACAGGAGGGGGATGAAGGCCAGGCTGGTTCCCCAGGGCGTGGTGGGGGATGCTTGTGTTCCCCTACCAGGTGTGGGTTTGTTGGGTGGGTGATGCGGGAATGGCTTTTTTACCTGCCTTTCTTCACCACCACCCCCCCCCAATCTCTCCACCACCAGCCCCGCTCCTGAGGGGGTTAAATGGGAAGGCAGATGACTGAGCAGAAGGGGGAGAGGAGCCGTGGCAAGGCGCAGCTGATCCCCGGGAGGTGGGAGGGAAACTGTGCGGGGACAGAGTCGTGTTTTATCATCATCATCATCGCACATGTGAGCGTCGCCTCCGGAGCGTTGTCTTAACCCACCGGGTCACCTGCCGCCGGCTCCTCACGGTAAAACATGCGTGGGGGGATGTTTCGGGACAGTAATTCCCACCCTCCGTGAGCAGAGCCACACAAAGGGATCCCGGGCCAGGAGAGCATCCCTGGCTGCGTCCCCACCCCAGGAAACAACCCCTTGGTGGGCAGGACAGGGGATTCTGGAGGGGGCAACAGCTTTGTGCCGGGATAGGAGGTGTTTTCTTGGGAAGCACCGTGGGGTTTTGGCTGGGCAAGGGGGGTGCTGTTGGATTGGGCTGTGTGGGGTTGGATCTGGAGCTGGGTGCTGTGGTGGGAGCCAGGTGCTGTAGTGTGCATCGCTCAAGCCAGTGTGCGATGGGGTTGTCCTCAATGCATTGTCCGGACAGGGGCAAATCCTGGTCCAGGTGCTGGTGCCGGTCATGGGGAGACCCTGCCCAACACCAAGGCTGCATGGGAGTGACCTTTGGTGGGGGCAATGGCAGGTTACCCTCAGCCCCCCTCCTGTTGCTCATCTCTGGGTGTTGCGCAGCCTGTTCCCATGGGAAGGGCAGAAGAGAGCTGAGGTGGACCGAGGGCAGAGCATCCCCCAGCGCCTGCGTGGGATGGAGCCGCCGGCGGCTCTGCGCAGGAGCTGGCGCCAGGAGCTGCCGTGGGAGATGCTGTCGGATGCTCTTTACACCCACAGGGACCTTCTCCCACCTCTTTTGTGCCACACAAATCCGTGGGTGCCCTTATCTCACCTCACTGTGTCCTTCAGAGGTCTGTGCCTTGCCTGCCTTTGCTCTCTTCCCATCTATAGCAAAGCACCTGCTCCGTGCCAGGGGCAGTTACTTGCTCCAGAGGCTGGTAGTTTGCCCAAGTGTGGGGCCAATTTCCAACCCCTATACAGACACCCATCTGTAAAGGGGTGATTGCCCATGGCATGACCCAAGGCCACCCGTGGGTGAATGCCAGGGGCTCAACAGTGCTGTGGTGGCCCTGGCCACCCACATCTGAGCTGCTGTGATTGGAAGATCCCTCTGTGACCTCCATGGGTGCTTAAGGATGGGGGAGAACATCTGGCAGCTTGTATGGTGGTGAAGGACAGGATCAAGGCTCACACCCTATGCAGAGATCTGTCTGCTAGGGGGTGGTCGAGATGGGTTGAGGCTGCCCAGGGGTGTTTGGAGAAGGATGGAGAGAAACCTGGGTGGTAGCAAGGAGCTAGATGTGAGCAGGAAGGCTTTAACGGGGGGCAGGAGGTCTGATGGGAGAGGAGGAGGGCATGCAGCAATCACTGAGTTGTGAGGGAGGATCAGGCCGTGCTCAGGGTGTCCGGAGTTTGGTCAGATAACCAAAGGTCGAGAAGCAGCAGGAATTGTCCTTGTGGGAGTGTGGGGTTCGCTCAGCCTGTGCCCTCCCCGGTGCTCGCTGGGTCTCTGCGGCTCCAGCAGCATGACCGGGGAATGAATTACAGCCACTGGATTTTCCATGCCTTAGTATAGGCATGGCCCCAGCCTCGGCCCCCGCGTGATGGAGCGAGTGAGCCCTGTGTTTCTGGCTCTCTGCGAGATGCAGTTGGAGGCTCTTGGGTAGTGCAAGTCAGGAGAGAAACTGGTGGGAATTATTTTTTTTTCTTCTTTTTCAAACAAAAAAAAATAATAAAAAAAAAAGCCCTCCCACCACCACAAGATGTTTCTGTCTAACGGCTCCGTTCCCTCTTCGCTAAATACAAATTACGGCTCTGACAGCCGGAGGCATTTATCTCTAGCTGAATGCCAATTGCTTTCAAGAACAAAATGTTTGAAGTTCCTTTAAGGTGAAGGCGGCAGCATGGTCTCTGCCGCTGCTTTCAGCCTCCAAAGCCCTGCTGTCACCACCCCAACTCCCATCCCAGGTCCCTGGCTGGGAGAGGAGGGGACACACACGGGCTGCTGGCTACATATAGGCATAGCTCAGCCCTCTGGGCCCACCCAGGGGCAGGGGGAGGACACGGTCCCGGCCTGACGTGAGCAGTGGCGTGGCTTTTATAATGCCATGCCCTGTTTCAGGCTCTCCCTACTCCCTTCAGCCTCAGAGATGAGTGTCCCTGTCCCTGCCTTAGTCCTCAGAGGGTTACAGCTGGAGCCAGGACACATCTTGGCCCCAGGGCTCTGACCTCCATTGGGAAGCGTGGACTTGAGCCGGCTGTGGTGCTGCTGGCCGGTGGGACGCAGGGAGCACCAGCTCCGCGATAAGTGCGTGTGGGTCCCATCCCCAGCCGAGCCCAGTGCAGTGCTCGCCTTACCCAGGGCTGTCTCTCTGCTTTCAGGAATAAGTACTCGGCTCCCGGCAGCGTCGCCGTCATGGGCAAGGACTATTACAAGATCCTGGGCATCCAGACCGGTGCCAACGAGGATGAAATCAAGAAAGCCTATCGGAAAATGGCCCTCAAGTATCACCCTGATAAGAATAAAGACCCCAACGCCGAGGAGAAGTTCAAGGAGATCGCGGAGGCTTATGATGTCCTGAGTGACCCCAAGAAGCGAGCTGTATATGACCAGTATGGGGAGGAAGGTAAGTGGACAAGCGCTGCCTGCTTTGGAGGCAGGGGTGGTGGTCCAGATTGGGTTTTGTAGGCAAGGGAGGCTTTTCACACAGAGGGTTCGTGCCTGCACTCAAAATGGGGCTGGTAGCTTGGAACTGGGGACAGTGAAGGCTCTACAGGTGTCAGGAATCCTCTTTCATCCTGTTTCTCTCTGGGTCACCCTGCTTTTCCACCCTGCTTCCTGGGATGGCAAGGGTTCTCCCTGCCTTCTGCCCTAAAACACAGCTGGGACAAGGGAGGTAGAAGGAGTTCACCTGACCTCCTGGATCGTACCTGGGGTAATTCGTCAGCAGCCCTTTAATTGACCTAAATATCCTAGCAGAGGAGTATTGCTTTTGTCCACATTCTCCCCACATTTGGGCACTGGTCCCGCTGTCCTCCCTGGTACAGGCTGACCTACAGTATTCAAAGCTTTTCCCAATTTAAGTAATAGGTCCTTGTTTTGAAACCAAGCGGCTGCTGTTGTCTGGTGGTTGGCACAGAGGAGGAGGAGGAGGAGAAGAGCCGCTCAACCACAGGCGGCCTTATTAGTCGAAGATGGAAGAGCGCAACCCCATTCGAGGAGAGCACCGAATAGCATCTGCATTAATCAGCCCAGGACTTGGGTGCTTAAAAGAGCAGGAGGTCTGGCAGGAGCAGGCTGCTGGGTGGAAGAGGCAGCCCTGTCAACGGGCAGGTGCATCCTCTTAATGAGCTACCAGCAGAATTAACCAGCAGTGGGTTAATTTTGACCCGTCAGTTATGTCAGGGCTATGATGGATGCACCGGGCGCAGTGATCTGCCACCCTGTAAAATGAGAAGAGGCTGCCTCAAGTGGGAAACCAGCCTTTCCCCAGAGGCAATGCCGAGGAAATCGGACCCAGCTCGGGCTGGCGTCACGGGATTAAAGGTGAAACCTCCTGGCTGTACAGTCTGTTAGGGGACAGGGGCTCCCTGGGGATTCGGCGAAATCCCCATCACCTGAAAACACCTAAAATAAAGAATGAGTTAAGGAGGGAGGGAAGAGCAGCCCCCTTCTTGCTCCATCAGTGTCGTGGCCCATGGAAACCTTTTCGTTCCCCATCAGGTGACGTTTTTTTGAGCAACATGTCTTGGGGATCAGCATTTTGAAAGGCTTCTGCATCCATGTGGTGGGCAAGGTGAAGCCCCCCTAACCCACCCACAATATTAATTTCATCAATCAGACCCCCAAAGTTGCCCCATTGCAGTGATGGGGGGGTCTGGCACAAGGAGCAGCCTGTCAGAAATAGTCCATCACTGTCACTGTTGTGCCCTGAAAATAGTCCTAGAGCTAGGCTTGGCTTAACCCTTCCCAACCCTCCTGGTCAAAAATAGCCTCACAGAGCGTATGTGACCTCTTTGGAGGGGCACTTATCATGTGCCTTGGCTGCTTGGGACCTTGGGGGAGCTGCAGTGACGTAAGGCTTAGCCTGGGACCTGACAGGAGAATTCCCCATGGGAATGATTGCAAAAGGATCCTAACCTTGAGCTTACCTGGTGTTTTGTACAGTCTGTACGCAGGCAGCTGTGTGCTGACCTGGAGGTCTGCATGGTCACTTGTGAGCTCAAAGCCTGTTCTCAGCTACAGGATGTGATGCTCCTGGACTGCAGCCATTGGTGCAGCTCAAAAGAAAGGACAATGTGGGCAGAAGGGAGCCTGCCCATGGGGAAAAATGGAGATGGGATGGTCAGGAAATGCTTAAAGGGGATGAATTGGGTGGAGATGAGCAAAGAAGAACTTCAGTAGGGATTAGCAGGGACAAAACCTGATCAGATTTTGAGCTTGGTGAGCTTGTTTTGAGCTTGTTCATCATGGGTTAAGCTAGTACCTTCCTGCCTCGTGTTCTTTGCAGGTGGCTGGCTGGAGTGGGTGACCTGCAGCCTTAGGAGACACTGGAAGGTCTGCCCAGAACCAGCAGAGACCATGATCCTGCCTGGAGAGTGCAGTCCTGGCATGGCATCAGCTGGCAGAGAGCGTTCATGTCTTGTCTTCCCCTTTCTCTTCCAGGTCTCAAAACTGGAGGTGGCTCTTCAGGTGGCTCAGGGAACACTTTCCACTACACCTTCCATGGAGACCCCCATGCCACCTTTGCCTCCTTCTTCGGAGGCTCCAACCCTTTTGACATCTTCTTCGCCAGCAGCCGCTCCCGAATATTCAACGGGTTTGACCAGGAAGACATGGACATCGATGAAGACGACGACCCTTTCAGTGCCTTCGGCCGGTTTGGCTTCAACGGCATCAACGGGGTTCACCGGCGGCACCAAGAGTCCCTGCACACACGCAGGAAGGTCCAAGACCCACCCGTAATCCACGAGCTCAAGGTGTCCCTGGAAGAGATCTACCACGGCTCCACCAAGAGGATGAAGATCACGCGCAGAAGGCTCAATGCTGATGGCCGGACCATGCGGACTGAGGACAAGATCCTAAACATTGTCATCAAACGGGGTTGGAAGGAGGGAACCAAAATCACATTCCCCAAAGAAGGGGATGCCACCCCAGACAACATCCCTGCTGACATCGTCTTCATCCTCAAGGACAAGCCTCACTCGCACTTCAAGAGGGATGGAACGAACGTGGTCTACACGGCAAACATCAGTCTTAAAGAGGTGGGTATGAGTGGGAAATCCCAAGGGGTGGGAGGTGGTTCTGGGTCATGGCACTTGGCACCGAGACAGGAGTTGTTTCTTCTCCTGCAACGATGAGGAAGGGCCAGGTAGGTTGGGAAAGACACAAGCAAAGACATCTGGAGAGAGGAGCTGCGTGTAAGACGCAGGTGCTGTGGCCCCTGCTGGGTGCACCTTGAGCCTGTACAAGGTGGCATTTGTTTGTTGTTTCCCTTCCCCATATGTCTCGTCTTTCTGTTTTAGCAGAGGGTGTTCACATGTGGAAGAGAGCCCAGATGTCTGTAGGAACAAGGGATGACCTGGGTTGGCATGAGTCTCGTCCCTGCTTGTTCTCGCAGCTGAGCCTGCTTGTGGCTTAGCTACTGTCCAGGATAGCACTTTCTCCCCACAGACAGAGAGCGGGAGCTGTTCTGATGTGGAGAACAGCCACCTTGCCCTCCCTGAGCAATTCTTTAGCTGTTTTTCTTGGTTCTGCCTCCCCTGCATAAAGAACCAAATGAACAAAGCTTTAGGCAGTTAGCAAAACTCAGCACATACCAGTCCTGCAGGTCACAGTGGGACTGGATCCATCAGAGCCAGCAAACTGCTGCGAGGTGGGAGAGGAAGGGCAGGTTAACCCAGCACAAGACATGCCATTCACCACTGCTGCTTTATAACTACCTTTCAATAAATCCCAGCTGGCAGCTGCACTTAACACTGACGTTTTGTGCAGCTGCCATTTGCTGTTCCTTTCAGACTGTAGACGCTGTCTGTCTTCTTAATGAGCTGATTTCTTTTCTTCCCGGAGACAGATTTATGTTCTCAAATGCATTTCATAGAAATAAGCTCAATGGGCCAGACCTGAGGTAGGGAAACGTGAGCTTGTGAAACATTGCCAGTGAGTCAGAGGAGCTTTGTCATGGCTCTGCATCCCTGCTGGGGCTGTGACCTGGTGCTCTGGGGGAAAGGAGCAGCCACGCAGGTCAAGCAGACCTCGGTGCTCCTGGGGAAAACTCAAGCTGAAGTTTAATCTTGACTCAGGAGCTAACTGTCCTTGGCAGTGCAGAGTGCAGAGGTTTATTCCTGTGGTGGCTGGCTTCCCTGGCTGCGCCAGAAATACTCGGGAGAGATTGCCTTATTTATGGGGCCAGCATGCCATATCTCAGATGTTTCCTTCTGTGCATTCCCCTATCTATCTGTAGAATTAACCCCAGGCTGGTTGTGCTGATGTTAGCCCAGGTTCATGCACTGCTGATGCTGGAGGGACTCTTGCCTGGAGTTGTCCCTTGAGAAGCAAGTGGAGAAACCTGCTGCTGCACCAGGAGCGGTGGTGCTCATCCCTGTGATGAGCAGGGCGTGTTGTGCTGCCCTTTGGTTTGCACAATGCAGTTACAATGTGGAAAATTGCTGGTCTGGGCAAATTCCTCACCTCTTTGAGCTAGAACTTGTGGTCTTTGTCCTCCCCCACCGCAAACCCAGCATCCTCAGGGAGGTGCCAGCCTGGCTGCTATCCCCATCCTGTGCTTGCCAGGGTAGGATGATAACTCTGCTGCTTTTATCTTCCATAAGGAGAAGAACCTTAAGTACTCTGGAGCACAAGCAGGTGCCAGGAGCTTCCCAGCTCCGTATGCCACCACCTCAGAATGTGATGGAGTGCAGCCTCTTCATCACCAAGCCATAGCCTTGGCTACTCTCCTTGCATCCTTCCTTCTTGTAAGCCTCTTCCACTGCCACAAGAGGAGCAGAGCACAGTGCCAGCCTGCAGGCAATGCGTGCTGTGACCCCACTCCTGGCCGTGCTGGAGACCCTTCACCAGCACCCTGCTGCCACAGGGAGCAAACTACCTGGTGCTTAGGCACCCAGGAGAGCATCTTCCTCATCCTCCTCCATCTTCAGAGCCCTCTGGAGAGTGACCGAGGGATGCAGGGCCCTCCCAGCCCCCAAGTCTGGCCCCGTTGGACTGCGACAGTGCAGGCTGGTTACCAGAGGTGTATGAGGACTGCAAGGAAGTGTCTCTTCCTAAAACTCCAGGCTTGTGTCGCAGTGGGAAGCCGGGGGAGGGAGGAATCGCACTGCTCCTGGCAGGCAGACCTCAGGGGCTTTGCTGCCTAACGCCTGCATCCTTTACCTGGCGTCACCTTCCTCAGAGCATCCGGATGGCTGGGGCACAACCGGTGCTGACGTTCCCCCCCAGTAGCTCTGCTGGGAGCGGAGGAGGACCCAACGCTGACCTAGATAAAGCTCTGCTCTCACAGCTACCAAACCCAGGGTGATTTCATCCCCAGGGATAAACCCAGCCTCTTTCTAGGATGCGGGGCAGCTCCCGCGGTTACTTCAGCAACCGGTTTCCCAAATGCCAGAGGAGTTGAGCAAGAAGGAACTAAAAACAGGGACATACGGTGGAGGAGTGATTGCCTGGGATTCTTGCATCTTGGCTCTAGGAAGGAAACATTAAGATCCTGTCTGCCTTCGCTGTTACCGCCCGCTCCTGTTCACATCCCTCTCTTTGCCCCATCCACGTGCTCCACAGGGAGCGAGTTCCTGTTCTCCTTCCCACTTTGTGGCTGGAGATGTCCTTTCCCTGGCACACAGAGACACATGCAGCCCTCTGCGGTGGGTGGTGGTGTGCACCGGGGAGCAGGAGGGCTCCAGCATCCCTGTGTGATGCATTGATGGAGCAGAGCATCCTTTCTTCCCCTCCTTCTACTTGCTGGAGATTAGCCAAGCTGCCACTGCTTGCATGGAGCTGGAGACAGCCATCCTCCCACAGCCAGAAAAGCTCATTCCTGCAGGACACCCTTCCCAGGAGGAGACCAAATGCAGATGAGCTGTGCAAGGAGACAGCCCCATCTCCTGCTCTCTGGTTGCCATGCAGGCTCTGGCATGGGCTCTTCTGTGATAGCTGCTACAGATCCCTGGCTCAGCTGCAGAGCCCGCATCCGTCATCCCTGAGCCCATGGCCAGCATGGGAAGAAATGTTTGTCCTGGTGCCTGTTGCTGCTTTGCCACTGGAGGCTTTTCCTGTCGAGGGGAATGCAGAGCATTCCCCAATCTACCCCAGAAATAGCCACTGCATCCTCCTCCCCTCCCTTTGCAGGGTGTTCTGGGATGGCTGGGACCCCAGGGCCAGCCCCCCACCTGGAATCTCAAGGATGTACTCCTGGTACCCCCCTCCTTTCCTCTTCCAGAAGCATCTCTCCCTCAGCCCTTGCTGAGAGCCTGGAGACGATCCTGCCTACGTGTATGCCAGAGCTGTCTGAGTTATTTAAGGACATGAGGGTTTTCTTGCTGCATTCCTGCATCACGTGTGTCGCTGATGCAGGTTGGCTGCTGCCGGGGTACAACGGGCTGGTGCCCACCAAACAGGGCTTGGAGCAACCTGCTCTAGTGGAAGGTGTCCCTGCCCGTGGCTGGGTGAGCTTTAAGGTCCCTTCAAACCAAACCATTCCATGAATCTATGAAACCACGAGGGGCTGGTGACAGGGACCATCCCCTGTGGCTTCTAGGAGAGCTGCAGCGCTGCCTCGCACCAGTGTAACCTTTTGGGGCTGTTGTTGAGGGGAGAACAGGCCGCACAGGCTGTGCTATAGATAACCCAGCACGGGGCAGAGCTGCCGGGCTGCTCTGCAGGGTGACAGCTGATGGACCGCGGCGGCATCTGATGATCTCAGCTGGATTTTCGGCTGCCGGAGGCTGGGAAAGGGGCTAAATTTAGCCTGTCCTGTTGCTGCGAGTGGTGGGGGGCTCGCTGGTAGCTCCTCCTGCAGGAGGTGGGGATGGAGCGTGCTTCATCTCCTGCAGCCCCGTCCGTGTTGGGGGGCACCAGGAGAGACCCAGGCTCGCACTTGGTGAGCATCACCCGAAGGGATGTGATCGGGCAGTGCGGGGACCACGGGGATGCTTTGGGGTGTCAGCCCCACCTAATGGCGTTGTCTGCTCTTCTCCCCGCAGGCCTTGTGCGGCTGCACCGTGAACATTCCCACCATCGACGGGCGGGTGATCCCGCTGCCCTGCAACGATATCATCAAGCCGGGGACAGTGAAGAGACTGCGTGGGGAGGGGCTGCCCTTCCCCAAGGCTCCCAGCCAGCGAGGAGACTTGATCGTGGAGTTCAAAATCCGCTTCCCGGACAGAATAGCTCCTCAGACGAGACAGATCCTCAAGCAGCACCTCCCGTGCTCCTAAAGCCCGGGGACTCCTCTCCAAGCAGCAATACTCCTATCGCTCGTGCCGCAGCACCGCGGAGCAGAGGTGCCACAGCACTTTCAAATGCAAAAAGAAAACAACAAGAAACCAACCCTTGCAACACTTTCCTTTACCCCCCAAAACCCACCCCATCCATCCATCCATCCATCCATCCATCCATCCATCCATCCATCCATCCATCCACCCACTCACCCACCCCTCCTGGCCTGTTTTCTACTCCAGCAGCAGGGAAGCTCCTGCCCATCCCAGCTGCCAAAGCTTTTCTATTCCCACCCTGAGCTCCAGCTTTCCCACCTCGCACAAGCCAGCGGCACGGGGGGGTGCGTCACGTGTTGGGTTTTTTAACGTCACCTGCTTTTTCAGGCCACTTGTCCCCACCAGAGGCTGGACTGGCCGGGGCCCGGCGCACTGTAAATAGGACTCAGCAGGATCTGCCGTGCCCGCTGTTGGTTTTTCTCCTCCCCTCTTTGATACTTGCTGCTGTTGGGGGTCCCGCTGTGCCCATCATGGGTGGCCTCCCGCCCCGTAGCCGGACTGTTTCTCACTTGGGACCACGGTGCCGAGTCCGACCGTGGTCCGCTCTCCTGTGCCAAGCCTACGACCGAGCCTCGGCTGTGCCAAGTGACGTGGGGACGGTCCCATCCATCCTCCTGCCCGGCTCTGTCCCTGGTGCCCGACGGGCAGCAGGAGGAGGAGGGGGGGAATCCCAGCGTGGAGCTTTCTTGTTCAGATGTGTTGAGTTTGCATTGCTGCTTTTCCTCCTCTTTTTAAGTACATATATATAGAGCTTGCTCGATAGACGCCGCAGCGGTTCTCTGCCCGCTCCGCGGTTCCCGACGTGGTGCACCCTGACTTCCTTTCTTTTTTCTTTCCTATTTTTTCCAAGGGGGGGGGCGATGGTTCAGCCAAACAAACAACACGTCGACCCCCCCCCTCTAAAAGGGGATGTGTGTGTGTGTAGCACAAGTCTGGGTGCAAAACCGGAGCCACGCGTGAGCAGAGCCGCAGGGTTCGCTAGCATTTAAGGTCAAACATGGGGATTTTAGTCATAGAGAGGTGCGTGTGTGTACATATCCTTTTTCTACAGGGACGGATCATCCAGGAGGCCGGGATGGGAGGCGCGTGAGGCAGAGCCCGTTTGGTGGCTTCACCTTCAAATACTGTATTTTTTTAAAACAAACGCAAAAAAACAAAAAAACCCAAAACTTTGGATTTTCACCGGGAGAATTTTTGTATTTCCCACCCTCTCTCGGCACGCTCTGCCTCGCGACCGTTCTTTTTCCACCCCCCTTTTTCCCTCCTCCCAGGATACAAACCAGGCTCCCACGGAGCAGGAGGCGCGGGGTGCTTTTTGTACGGCTCCTCTTCCACCACCATGAGAAACCCCCCAGCAAAGCACCCCCTGACCCAGGGAACACGGGTTTTGTATTGACAGGGTTGAACCCAATGACTTCAAGCAGGGTCCCGTGGGGCAGGAGGGTGAGCGTGGGGCTGAGCACAGCCCCACAAGTGCATATGGGGCCGGATTGAGGACACCCCTTCATTCACTGCCACCGGTCCCCTCCGCTGGTCCCTATGGATTTCGAGGTAGAGAAGCCTGGTGGACACCGTGAGCGAGAAGACAGGACAGCGCCCGCGCTGCTTTGGTTTTCTCGGTTTCAATGAGACCTGAATGTTTTATAGTGCTTCTTTCTTTTTGTAATTTTCTTCTTCTTTTTTTCCTCCTTTTCTTTTTTTTTTTTTTTTTTTTTTTTTGTAATGTCAGTATTGAGAGAAAAAGAGAAATAAAGTATTTTAAAAAATACACTTCCTTCATGTGTGTGTGTGTGTGTGTGTGTGTGGTGGGGGTGGATCATGGAATGGTTTGGGTTGGAAGGGACCTTAAGATCATCCAGTTCCAACCCCTGCCATAGGCAGGGACACCTTCCACTAGAGCAGGTTGCTCCAAGCCCCTATGTCCAACCTGGCCTTGAACACTGCCAGGGATGGGGCAGCCACAGCTTCTTAATGGGCGCCCTGTGCTGGTGCCCTCACAAACACCAGTGCCAGGGACCACACATGGCTGGGGTTGGGAGCAGGGGCTCGGTGCCTGCTCTGGGCTGTTGTGGGCAGTGGGTGCTGTGGCTGGGGCTGGTGAATGGGGCTCTTACCGGGTGGGAGAGGCACAAGCTGCGGGTGGGGAATGTCCTGCTCATCCCGGGATGTGTTTGTCCCTGAGCTCCCATCAGGAGCAGCACAAGGGCAGGGGATGGGAGCGATACCCATGGGCGTTGTGCCTCAGGAGGCTGCCAAGCCCCCGGTGTGGGCCCAGGATCTCCCAGGTGAGAGCTCAGGGCTGTGAAACCCCCCCAGCAAAACCTGACCCTGCAGCGCACGCAGCAGAGGGCAGCAGGAATGGGCTCCTCTGATCAGCGATGGGGCCTGGCAGGGCTGCCAGGGATGCCCATGGAGCACGGGAGGGACGTGGGGAGGAGAAACCCTTGGAGCAGGAGCACGCGGGATGGGATGCCCGTGGGGCAGGGGATGTAGACAGGGAGCGCGCATCCATGAAGCTGGATCCATGGAGAAGGGATGCCCTTGTGACAGAGATAGCCAAGGGGGTGTCCACAGAGCATCCTGCCTGCTCCAGAGCAGCATGGCCACTGCCTGCCCTCTGCTAGCAGAAGCCAGGAGGGTTTGGGGTGCTGCAGGACCCTCTGAGCCCCACACCCTGACCCCCATGCAGCCAAGAGCCCCTTCCTTTCTCCCCAGTGCCTCGGGGGGCTCCCCAGTCCCCTCAGCACGGCACTGGGCAGGAGAAGAGGGTGCATGGAAGGCTCCTGCCCCTGCACCTACCAGGGGCTGTGCTGGGGATGGCCCCTGATGGCCGTTGCTCTCCTGGGGCTCATGGCCGAGCTCCTCACCCCACTGCTCCAAGGCAGGGGCAGACGCTCCCACAGCTCCCATGGGTGCTGTCCCCACCGTGTCCCACGGGTGTCAGGGAAGACAGATCAGGGTTTGCAGCCCTCCTGCTAGATTTAACCAGCACCTGCAATGAGGGGAGGCAGCGGGACACGCACCCCGAATGGAATCACAGGGCACCCCGTGTCCTGCTTGTCCTGACCTCCACAGCAGACAGGTGATGGGATGGAACTTACTGTCTGGGTGATGACGGTCCCAACGACAGGGACAAGAACCCACCCGCTGCAAGGGGTGAGGAAGGCTCTGGGGAGTCCTGACGAGCTCTTGCAGGGCACAGAGCAGCAGCTTCCCCTTCCCGGGTGGCTGGGAAGCGTCTGGTTCCCAGCTCATCCAACCGGAGCTGCATCTTCTGGGGTTGCACTGGTGGAGCAGCGGCAGCATCTGGTGGGAACAGGAAGCAGCCCTGAGGTGCAAGTTTCCAGTCAGCCCCACACGGGCTGGTGCGGGGCAGGGTGGCACCAGCCCCCCCATCCCCGCTGCCCCATAGCCGATGGCTGGAGTCCCCCGGAGCGAGCAGCAGCATCTTCTCGGGCAGAGGTGGTGTGAGGACAGCAGAGCTCCGAAGTAGGTCAGAGCACCCTCCCCGGGGGCTGCCCAGCCTCTGCCCCAGCACAGAGGTGCTATTTAAACACGGTGCTCCCAATTCCAGCTCTTTTCTCCCCACTGCTACGTGCAAGCCCCCTCTCCTGGGCAGCCCCATCCGGACACGGCTCTGCCCTTAAACCCATCTGGTTGGATGGAGCCCTCCAAGATGTGACAGGCTGAGCCAGGAGCTTCTGCTGCCTGGGCCCTCTCCCTCCTGGCTCAGCCCCAAGGCTTGGGGTCACCTCCTGCCACCCCATCTGTGTTTATCCCTTTGCAGACACCCTCGGGTCCTGCGCACCCCTAAAAGCCAAGAGCACGTGGCTGCTCTGTGCATCCCATAGACACTGCCCCAAAGAGGCTCAGGGCTGGCCAGATGCAGCCTCCCCACCCTGCTCCTGTGCACAGAGCCAATTGTGTCCCATGGAACACAAACAAGGATGACAGTGCCATGTTCTTCAGTTCAGAGAAGGGAAATGAGCCACGGAGCAATGCACTGAGGTGGAAGTGGAATGGAAGAGCCATGAGCAGAGCCCAGCTCCCGAGTTTGGGGCACAACACGGGACTGGCTGGCCCCAGAAACCCAAGGGGATAAAGGGGATGTGCTGAAGCTCCCCTCTACCCTACCCACAGTAATGCCACATAAGCCAGCTTGTGCCCAGGCAGCCAAGAAGCCAACAGCATCCTGGCCTGTACCAGCAATAGTGTGGCAGCAGGGCCAGGACAGTGATCATCCCCCTGCACTGGGCACTGGTGAGGCTGCACCTTGAATCCTGTGTTCAGTTCTGGGCCCCTCACTACAAGACAGACATTGAGGTGCTGGAGTGGGGCCAGAGAAGGGCAAAGGAGCTGGTGAAGGGTCTGGAGCACAAGTGATGAGGAACAGCTGAGGGACCTGGGGATGTTTAGTCTGGAGAAGAGAAGGCTCAGGGGGACCTTATCACTCTCTACAACTGCCTGAAAGGGAATGGAGTGAGGTGGGGTTGGTCTCTTCTCCCTAGAAACAAGTGACAGGATAAGTGGAAACAGCCTCAAGCTGCCCAGGGGAGGTTTAGATGGGACATCAGAACAACTTCTTCCTCAAAGGATGCTCAGGCATCGGAACAGGCTGCCCAGGGCAGGGGTGGAATCAGCATCCCTGGAAGTGTTCACAAACTGTGCAGATGGGACCCTCAGTACCATGGGTTAGCGGTGGCCTTGGCAGCACTGAGAAACCTCTTTAACCTCTTCCCCTAGCTATTATCCTATGAGAGCCCCAGTGCCCCTCGTGCTGCCCTCAGCCAGGGTGGACAAGATGGGACTTGCTGGAGCCCTTTGCTGCAGGAGCCAAAGCAGCAGCTCTGACTGCTCACGACCAGCACAGGGGGACACACCAGGTACCTGCAGCCAGGCTCTTGTACTCAGTGCTTGCAGTCAGAGCACAGATGCTGCTTCCAAAGCGATTCCTTCTGCTAATGTGAGCTAATGGGTGTTAAAAGGAAGAGCAACCCCGAGGGCAGCAGGGAGCGGGTGCACACACAGATGGGCTCCATCACAGTACAGA